TCAATCAAAGGGAAGGAAAAAGGCCTCCCCGCCGTCACTGAACCCAATACTGACATGATCGGGTCAGTCAAAATTGTTGAGGAAATTCCTTAACCACCCTCCGTCCCCCACGGGATTAGAGAATCGTCAAAATCTCCTCCGACCGCGCCAAAACTGTCGGAAAATGCTGTACCTATAACAGCGCCAAAATCAACGTCGCAGCCAAAAGCTGCCATGAAAGCAAAGTGTCCTCTCGAGCTCCGACCAATTGTCGAAGCCGAACAACGACGCGCCGCCGAAACAGCGGAAAATCTGGCCCTCTACACCGCCGCTATCTCTGGCGTCGAAGCCATCCTCCTCCCTTTGATCAACGGGTCAAACAGACAATTCGTAGACTCGATGAGAGTCTAACTACGCGCCGCCATTGCGCAACACATGGCCACAGGCCCGGTCAACACGCCACCCGTCCTCCCTCCTCACCCGGCAAACCCTCTCCCAAGGGCTCCAGAAGCCAGGAGCACAACAACTCCCGCCATCCCAGCTCTGCCTGTGGAAAGCACCTTGGCCATGGTGGCCAGAAACTTAATGCGTCAAAAAGCTGTCCCTACTATGAAGGCTATGCCGCGACCTGCGGCCAAAGCCCAACAAAAAGAAACCCCAAAGCGAAATTCTACAAGCGACTGTTCCTTCGCCTTGAAAAGGACTACCTGTGGCAAATAATGTTGTAGAGGTAACAGCTTACGGAGGTTAATTGGCAGAAGGTTTATGGATGATTATCGATGAATCAACGTGAACTGCTGATATATTTGATATTCAGAACTATGAGGATTTAGGAGGTAGAAAGAGCTAATTATAAACACGTCTGAGGTAGCTAGACTCTCGCCTTATTTACCCAAAACAGTATCACGGAATAATCTAGTCTCCTCCATCTGATAGTACAATCTAGAAACATTTTCTATACAGTGCTCCATTGATCCTCTACTCATTATGAAGCCACCTGGAAAGTTCTTCCTTCACCCTCAGTGATCATTACCCTTGTGCATCGAAATCCTAGGCATCACCAGCACAACATATAATGTCTGCCAATAGCGTGAGAAGTAATTTGGAGTCTACATTCCTTTGCTATCACGATAAAATAACCTCGCTCTATCGAGTGAAGACCGGCTTTGCTATGCTAGCAAAGAACGAAAACATACAACAAGAGATGTTAGATGCCTCTTCGAAGTTGGCGCGTGTTAAGGTCAAACTCAAAGCAGCTTCAGATCTTGTAGCCTTACAGATACCGAACGTACCTGTAAGCTTAGTCACAGAGCGCGGCCCCATGGCAATGGATGCTGAGTGGGTCTCCGCCCAAATCGGTATTACAGCCGGCGTATTTCTGTTGTGCTGGCTCGGTTGAGTTGTTAGGAGACAGAGGAATGGAGGATGGGCTGCTGGATTAGGAAAGGGTGGAAAATATAGGCTGGTGCACAGACGCTGTTCATGTACTCTACAATCTCTTCACCTGCCGAGTTTAGTGAATCAATCTATCCAAAATAATATCATACTTCACATCATCCATTAGATGATATTATCAATCGTCGGGATGCACATCTAGCATCACCTTCATAGATCACCATCGTCAGTAAGAGTTCACATTTGATACCTACTGACACCCATTTGGCCACAGTGATACGCACTCAGTGTCCATCGTGCCATCACCCAGCGTGAGCGCGCCATTTCCGCAACTCACCATTGCACATGAGCCCGTGTAATTCCACCGACGGATAGCAGAGACATAATTGCTATATACCTCACAGCTCATAACTACAACAGATATTCCATCGCTGTTGTCGAAGCTGTGCCTTTTGAGGCTGGCACAGCATTTTTTCCGGCAGGCAATTCTGCACGTTCGGTCGTCTTTTCTCTGACGACCTCCTTTCCTTTCCTGGAACTGCTTGCCTCGGGGGCCAGCTCGGTGGGTTTCGCGGTCTGTTGACCATTTGTTTCTGTTCTGATCGGATCAGAATCAGTCATCTCTTGATCGAGAAGTGTGGAAGTCTTCTCAGGGATAAAGGCCTCACTCGCAAATAGGCTTGATATTTTTGCGCGAGGCCAGGTGTTTTTGCAGGAGCCCTCGGGCGGACTCTCGCGTTGTCCAACATTGAGTTTGGGAGCTTTTTTCGAACGGGCGGCATGATGAAAATGCCAGTGACTCGATTACAATTTATTGAAGGAATGCGACGAGCGCAAGAGGGAGGGAGAGGGGGAAAAGGTGAATATTCGAAAATTTGAATTTCAAAAAATTGTTGTTTTATTGTACGACTTGAGTCTATGACTATCTAGCACATCGGGATCCTCTCTGACCCAGGCCACACCTTGTACAGTGCTCTTTACCTCTCATGTTACTTGTAAGATCATTGATATATTGCCCGTGACAAATGGCCATCCAGCTCAGTATTACCTGTGGAATTCGACCACTTTTTCCACAGAACCTTCTTCCCCCCCCCCCCAAAAAAAATAAAATAGTGGCAATGAAAACTGCATGCGCGGGAAAAAGTCTCAAAAAACCTGCAGCCCCCGCCAGGCAAGGCCTTGACACCGGGACCACATGAGATGCGCACATTCATTTATATCTTCCTTCTTTGTAACATTCGAGGCCGACTTGATCCAATCCACCATCTCCGTATCGGGTGCTGGGTACGTTCTGGAAACTCATCAGATGGCTTTTCCTCCCTGGTCAAGGATGGGTAATGTGTAGGGCTCCGACCCTACCATCTGATCTGATCGTGGTTAGCTTCATGAGAATGGTGATAGGGAAATTTTTTGGGAGATGAAGACAATAGTGACCGCAAAAGCGATTGGGAACCCTCGTCGAAGTGAGGACTTTGTTACTCAATCTCGCCTCTGCAGACTCTACAGTGAGAGCTGGAGGTTCATAGGGGACACCGCTGACAGGTGTTGAGAATAGTCCCCCCATTGACCATATGTCTCATAGCTAGAAAGCTGAATACACATTAAATGACTTTAAAAGAATAAAAATAATACATTGACCAGCCTCCCAATTATTTAGCAAAATCAAATGAATCGTGTCCGTCGCTTGGATTAAGTAGTTAGTATTAAAATAAACGTTCTCTGATCACTTGTATAAGTTAATAAGAGACACTGCATAGCAAATGTAAGGCGTAGATGAATCAGGACTGAATTAATGTCCCACCGTAGTGATATGAGTTGGGTCTTATAGAAGTCCCCATCCACTAGACTGTGTTCTAATTATCTACTCTATTCTAAACGTGTCTCATTCCCTCGTATAACTGAGAAGTACTCTGTCAATGACTACTCCTTCGCTTGATAGATCGTCTCTGCGACTCGTTGCTTACATTACTTGGTGAATAACAACTGACGCGTCTATTGTGCAGACAGTGCACGACTCGTAACTAAGCGAGTTGTGTTATCCGATACTGGAGGTTCCACGTTCTATTTACTAGGACATGATCTATTTCTCTGGAGGGCAAGACTGAACACCTGTACGCGGTATCCTCTACGAACCTGGGGGTGAAATATTCTCCCAGAGCCAAGTTCAGTCAAACTTCGCAAAACCGAACAAGTTGGCCCACGAGGTGATGATTCAAATTACTCCACCACGTCAAATCTTCACTCCCGGAGGGTCCGATTCCTACCTAAGTCTCATCAAGCCTATGAATACGACCAAGTACATCCTCATCCCAATGACCACACCGCCCTTCGACCTTCTCTGGCCTCAGCTGACCACCAAATACACGCCCACGCCGATATTTACACCCGCAGGAGGAAGCAAAGCGTGGCGCACAAATTTGGGAGACAGTTCTTTGTGATTGACGTGAGAGGGATCAGGACAAGTTGACAAGATGATGCGAAGGAAGGATATAACTTTGAAGGGCATGAAATTCCGAATTTTGGCAAGGAGTATTTCGAATTGGGCTTTGTGCGCTTCAAGACTTCGGTTGCGAGAGTGCAGCTGGCACTTTAAAAACAAGCCAACGATGGAAGGTGTCGTGGTCCGCATCCTGGTTGTGTTCTCTGGTATAGTTTGAGTAGCCTGGGCACCTACTCCGCTTGGGAAGGAGATATCTCAGATTACATTTCGCGCGGAAAAAAGTTGATAGATGATGGAGGCATGTCTGGATAACTCAGGGGTTTTGAGACGTTCCCCTGGGTGGGTATTCACGGATGAGGGTTGACTTGGGATGAAGGAAAAGCCACGATAACTTCGCAGTGGTACTTGCAAATGAAATCCGAGGCATGAGTGCTCCTCTTGTAAATTGAGTCATCTTTTCTGTACTTTTCTTTGATATTGTGTCATAGCTAGATAGCTGCATACGCAAACAAAATCTGATGCAAAAAAAAAAGAAGATCTGTTCCTTTAACAATTACCTTAAATAGCGCTCTGATACTAAGTGGGTTTAAACAGTAACTCTCCACTATAGTTTTCAGACTCCTCAATCTCCCAACTCGCTTCAGTAGGTGATATTAAGCACAAGTCTAACAGCTTACGCTACGCTACCGAACTTCTATTACAACACCACTGACGTGTGTTGAGTTTCGTCCCTCTTTTGAAGATATAGATTGACCGGGACTCAAAGACTGTAACAAGCTAATCTTCTACTTTTAAGGTTCTGCCCATACTGAAGGATGTAATTACACCGTTCCTTATCTTCCGTCATCTCCTTCTACGCCGTATAATGAATTTATGTGAGATTAAATCTGTGCAATATTAGCTCGACTAAGCATGACTCGAAAACACCTTTAAATTATAATCTAAATAGTGATAGCCTGACCATGACAATTTACTGTAGCACCAACACTCGTTTCTCCACATCTAGTTGCCAGCACTTTCGATGTTCTACTGATTGCCAAGAGCTCTCATTGTTCCTCTTCGATGTTTTTTCCATTCACCAAACTGGCCATCGCCAAACTTTCGGACAAAATTCTCCATCTTTGTACCAACAGCTACCTCGTACAAGCTTCAATCTGCACAAATAATCTAGAGCTGTATTGCCAAAATGGCATGTGTTGTCGCATTCCTCCTGAAGTCGTGGATTCGTACAACGCTAGTTGATCAAATTACTCTTGTCGCTAACAACGCGCAAGAGTCTATCTACGAAATGTACGAACCAAGGGATGGTAAATTTCCCAAAGTTGGTGGTGACATACAAATGACCAACGTGGATGTCAGCGCCTCGGGCACATATATCTCAGTCTATTGTTCAAAGACATTGAAAAGTCGAGACATTGTAAACAAAATCAGTCGCGGAATGGTGGATCTGAATATTCAACCAAATAATCGACTTTTTCCTGATTCTGAACAATTTCACCTATGCTTGGAATCCTTGGCAGATATGGATAAGAAACTCTGTAATCCATATTTGCTCAATGTTTTTAAACGCTATATATCCTGGTCGAAAATTAACATCTTTATTTGTCCCCCCGAGATTATAGTTCGAATGGCCCTTCATTATGGTATCACAGTGGTTGGCAAATATCAAAACTTCGTGCCTACGAAGAAAGAGAGAAAAAAAGACCTAAGCATAAACGCTGACAAGCAATTTAAAATCTCGGAATTAGTCCAAGACAGATTTGTTTTCCGAGGTAAAAATTGGTCGGTTAACTCGGTGGCACTAGCTTGGTATCATGGACATCCTCATCTATTCCAATGGAAAGATGATCACGGATGGCTTCCCCTCACGCGAATAAGCCAGGAGCATGAGTATGGAGCTTTGCTCTTTTATTACGTGCTGGGAAATGACCACGAAATCTGGAATTCCCGCAATTCTTTATCAACCGAAATCAACAGTATCTTGGAAAGTGTGCAATGGCAGGAACACGAAAAGCACATAATCGATCTAGTGGTTTCAGGAAGTGCAGAAGTTCCACTTAAAGTTGTGGATGACCTAGGCAAGCTTAAGCCAACTGCACCATTCGGCCTAATCGGTGAAAAGCTTTAAATACTCCGACAACCCAAGTAAACAAGTTGATGCCATCTGATGAGAGAAGTTCTATCGTGATAGCATAATATCTGTTGAATTAGTACATGATGTAATGAGAATTCCTCATGATGTTGCTCTTAGTTCACTATGTAATAATGAAGATGGAAGTGCCAACTACTAACTGGGAAGTGGTGTGCGCTAGGGGGTCATAGGACGATTCTCAACAATTCTAGTTGGGAATGCGCGTAGTTGGCATGAGGGATGTGCTAGCAATTGAGGCCAAATAATATGTACCTATATACCTGCCCATATAGGAGAAAAAATAAATCATCCGAAGTTTACAGTAAGTTCTAATTGAATGCGTGTGGAATCTAATGTCCGGTGACGTCCTTTAGGATTACTTCCCTATAATCTCCGGATAAGTCTTTGTTCGCTGTGATTAAGGCATCCGATAGTTAAGCAAGGATCAAATGGCATTTGTTTTAAAAATCTTTCCAGCCACAGAATAACAACAGGGAATGCATTTACTTAATTTTAAGCTCTCGTTGGAAATCGAGACACAGGGTGTTGTGGACGTACGAGCCCACCATTTCGTCTTGGTTCCCGACACCAACTTGTGTGTATTTAAGAGGTTGGAATGGGTAATATGGTAGCGCTTTAGGCTTCCTATCGGAGACATGAGCGGCTGCATGGCCTGGGCACAAGGAGGTTGTTGGGGGTTTTCTATGCCTAGACAACACCACGCCCGTTTATGCTGTGGCTTCAGGCTCTTTGTCGCTTACACTGGGACCTTTTTTTTAAAGCTCACATTGTTTTTAGCTACAAAGCTATGACAATTTATCTTAACTACTACATTTTCTTGAGATAAGGATCATCTTCCCTCTCTTATTCCAGCTCTCACCCAATATCTTTATTCCCAGTTTGTGAAGTGACTATTTAATCTCCTTTATGTGCATTTATGCATCTAGAAGCCTTCAAATTTTCTAATAATGCTTCTCTGCCCCTCTATGTCCTGAAAAGAAATGGCAGCTTTAATGGTTCTTTATTTTTAATTAATCTTATCCTTTCTTCTGCAAAGCTCCTACACTGTAGTATTAGATGTTGCGTGGTGTTACGGTTTGATCGTTATTTGAGCTTAGGTAAATACCTAAGCGGATTGTTGGGAATATTTACAACTAGGCGGCACTACTAGTCAGGAGGTCGAAGCGTTACTCCAACTAAGTAACACCTGGCCATGCGTGGCTGGGTAGCAAGTATTGTGCCTAAGGATAAGTCATCAGTCTGGAGATTGACGAAGGGGACCAATTCTTATAAATACCTGTTAGTCGTAGCTAGAGTTCTCTTTTCTCCTCATATAGTTTAATAAATCGATTTATACAAACCAACTCGGTTTCCGTCACACATGGTCTGATTTTCTTGTTTGCATAATTGCACTTGTACTTGTAGCGCACGCTTCCCACACTTTTAGCTGTCATCCGAACATGACACTATTTCAGTCAACTTCTACTTTCGCCCCATAAATATTCCGCTCATTCCATTGCGCGATATTTCCAACAGTTGCGAGCTATTGGTATGTCTATTACTGGCTGTTGCCTTATTGGATCTGAAAGTAATCGGCCTTCCGTAAATGATAAAGTCCGCAGCGAGTGTTACAGGAGAGGTTCGTGGGATTGGTACTGGCTGTAGCAAAACAGATTTGATTTGATTTGATTAAATTTAACGTCGTGCCTGTCTACAGCTCGTGACCTTAGTCACGTGCTGGACGGCCCAGTCCCTACAGAACTACCCGACGCTCTAGCGCGCCCTACAGCACCTAGAAACTACAAAAGAGTCCGACCTGCTGTCCGCTACTCTGCTTTCCAATTTAAATGTAGCAAATTTCCCTCTACCCGGGATTTTACTTTTTATTTACAAGTAGTTTGAAATTACTCCCGCAGACTATTCACGCAGTACCAAAAATCTCAAGGGAAATATCTAATGTGCCCGTTGGACTTCGTCGTAGAACTTTGTCAGCTCCACCCATTTTCCGAAGGCGTGTGCCCCTTTAGGCGTGCTGAGGACCCATTTAATACCGGGGCTGGAGTGCCGAGGTCCACCACTAAGGCGAGCCCGGCTTCTTCCTATGCTGCAGTGAAAGAAGTGGTCCGTACTTTTTTCTTCGCCACAGGAGCAAGTCATTAAGGCATCTTCGTGTGTAAAACGCCGATGATACTGTGCGAAATCTCCGTGTCCGGAGCGAGCTGCAATCAACGCCCCAAGTGCACGTCGGCTTAGACCTTTCAGTTCTGGGGATATTCCTAGGCTAGGGCCAATCCCTAGTTCTTTACATCTAGTGGGGCCTTCCCGATCCCAGTAAGCAGTGGTGGAAGCGTTGTACAACAGAGAAATTTCTCTTTTTGCTCTCGCTATGGATGGAGATAGGGGTAGCGCAGTCATTAGACAAGCCGACTTCGCTAGAGCATCTGCTGCTTCATTTCCAGGGATTCCAGAATGTCCGGGGCACCATCTAACACTGACTGCTCCTGCTTTAGTACAGGATGCTCGTGTCCTGTTTATCCAGCTAGCCGCCAGCTGCCGAAATTTTGCAATCCGGCGAGAGCTTGTTGCGGTCGGTGTTAATAAGAGGAGTCGAAGAGCCGCTTCTTGGTTATCTAGGCAGATGGTTAAGTTGGTTGCATAGAAGGCCATGGGATTGTGAAGGGCAGCTTCTAGCCCCTCTGTTGCTCCGGAAATTTCCGCGTCGTATACCTCTGCTGAGGCACCTAGAGGGATGGTTCCGCGGGCAATCTCATGGTTCATGCCGCGTCGAATTGAATATCCAGCTCCTGCTTGATTCTCAATCAGAGCGCCGTCGGAGAAAACAAAAAGGTCCATCATGGATTGTCGGGCGTACCATTGAGTAAAGGAATAGACTCCCGCTGTTCGGCCAACAGCGCCTATCTTTTCCAAACATTCATCACGTCCGGCTTCCCAAGGGGGAGGGATGTTATCTTCTGAGAGCTCCGGGGAAATCCTTTGTCGGATTCCGCACATTCTCGAAGAATTCCACCGTCTACGAAGAGGGTGTCTAGGATCTGCTGCTGCAGTGCGGAGGGCGAGGCGATCATGTATGCGCTCAAGCCAGGCTTTTGCGGGCCCCCAACCTGTTTCACGCAGAAGAACAGCTATTGGTGTAGTACGGTATACAGGAAGTGCTGCGCGAGCAGCATCGTTCATCCGTTGTTGTATCCGAAGGACCAGTGCTTTCGGAGTTCCTTCGGAATACCATGTCTCAGCTCCGTAGAGCAAGGTCGCAAAAGCTGCTCCTTGGAGCGCTTGCCTCAAAAGAAGAGGGCTCATTCCTCGGGTGACTCTCGAAAGACTTTTAATGTGACTTGTAACAGCCAAGGATCTTCCACAGGCTTGTCTGACATGTTCTCTGAACCGAAGGCTTCGATCGAAGATGACCCCGAGCCAGCGCGTGTGGGCGTTTGGTGTGATCTCGACCCCATCCGCATATACGCTGGGTTCTAGTGGAGGTCCATGTTTTCGGTGAAAATATTGTAGTTCCGTTTTTGAGACTTCGAGAGCAATGCCGTTCTCAAGTCCCCAGGCGAGGGTCATATCTAACTGCGTCTGAAGTAACTCTCCGCAGCGAGCGAGAGTCGGTGCGGACGCCAGAAATGCAACGTCGTCTGCATAGCCGAAACGCTTTGGGGAGAGGTGGAGCATACCTTCAATTGCCAATAGAAATAAGATAGGTGAAGCTGGGGATCCTTGAGGGAGTCCGCAGTGTATCTTAAACGCCGGAGATATGGTTCCATCCAGTGTGATTGAGGCCTCTCGCTCAGACATGAAAGAGGACACCCACTGTACCACATTGAATGGCCATCCTTGACCCCGTAGGCAATGACACAGGCGGCCTTTTTGTATTCCATCAAATGCACCTTTGACATCTACAGTGACTATTCCGGCTACATGTTTTTTGGCCCAGGCATCCTGAATATCGCACGACAATGCAGTGGTGAGATCGGTAGCTGATCTCCGAGGAACTGCACTACACTGATCACGGGAAAGAATCTGATGACTCAGTGCTAGAAATGAGAGACGACGCGCGACAAGTCTCTCCAATCCCTTGCCAAGGCACGATAGAAGAGCGATAGGGCGGTAAGATAATGGGAGAGCTCGGTTGCGATTTCCCGACTTTGGTATTATAACTACATTAGCCTTCTTAAAAACGATAGGGTGTATCCCCCACTTATCGCATTGACGGAATAAGGAGATTATTCGGGGCCCAATTATTGGCCAGGCGCGCCGAAGAACTGTTGCGGTAATATTGTCAGGCCCAGGAGCGGATGTCGGGACAATGCAGCACGATTTGTAGATCTCTACGTCTGTCAGCGGAGGCCATGTAATACACCTTTTTGCCACTGTGGGGGTTGCGTCGTCAATGTCTCTTTGACTAAGATGACGACTAAGGAGAACATCCTGAAAGAGCTGCGCCTTCTCTGATGGGTGAAAAATTGGGCCCACAGGTCCCTCTAGAGGTGGAGTGTGATAGTGAGCCTCTCTCTTGTGCCAGCGCGTGACTTGGTAGGCCTCCTTGAGATTGGAAACTTGTTCTACCTTGTTGTACCAGAAGGCCCGCTTTGATTTCCTCACTACTTTTCCAAAGGCACGACGTTCGGGGGTTGCTGGTAGACCCGCACGACGGGCCCTGCAAAAGTTAAGATGAGCCTGAGTGCACTCCTTATTCCACCAGCCAGCTTTTGTTGCTTGTTTACGAGTCCTTGGACAGGCAACTAGGAGAGCTCCTGCGATGATATCGACAATTGTGGCAGCCTCTTCTTCAATGTTAAAGGAAGGAGGGGTTGCCAGCTGGTTCGTCACGACATCTTGAAATATTTCCCAATTACAGGCGGCGAATTGAAGCTTACCCGGTACAGGTTTCTCGGCTTCCCAATCGAATACTTGACAGAGGATTGTCCTATGATCAGAGCCGACTTCCAGATCTTGTCGAATTTCGCAAGAAGCGGTCA